ACAATACAGTATTAATTATAGTCACAATGCTGTACATTAGATCCACAAAATTTATTCTTCTTATAACTAATGGCTTGTACACTTTGATCAGTGTCTCTCCATTTCTCATACTCCCAGTCCCTAGTACCACTATTTTACTCTGTTTCTATGTGTTTGATTTTTTTTTTCTCTCTCTCTCTCTCTCTCCCTTTATTTTAGATTCTACATATAAGTGAGATCACATAGTATTTGTTTTTCTCTGTCTGGCTTTCTTCAGTTATTATAGCATTCTCCAGGTTCATCTATGTTGTCCCAAATGGCAAGATTTTCTTCTTTCTAATGGCAGAATAACATTTCACTGTGCTTTTTTCTCATATCTTCTTTACCTACTCATTCATGGAGGGATACTTAGGTTGTTTCCATATCTTGGCTATTGAGAATTATGCTGCAACAAACATGAGAATGCAGACATCTGAGATACTGATTTTGTTTCCTTTGGATATGTGCCTAGAAGGGGAATTGCTGGGTCATATGATAGTTCGATTTTTAATTTTTTGAAGAAATTCCATAATGTTTTCGTAGTAGCCGTACCAACTTACCTCCTCACCAACAGTCCTCAAGGGTTCCCTGTTTTCCACATCTTCATCAGCATTTATCTCTTGTCTTTTTGATAAAAGCCATCAATACAGGTATGAGATAATGTCTCCTTGTAGTTTTGATTTACATTTCCCTGATAAGTAGTGATGTTAAGCACTTTTTCATTTACCTGTTAGCCATTTGTATGACTTCTTTGGAAAAATGTCTATTCAGGCCCTTTGCCCATTTTTTAATTGTATAACTTTTTTTTGCTATTGAGTTGTATCAATATTAGCACCTTATCAAATATATCCTGTGTAAATATCTTCTTACATTTATAGGTTTTCTTTTTCATTTTTTTAATATTGTGATTTATAAGAAATATAGTCATGCATCACTTAAAGATGGAAATACATTCTCAGAAATGCATTACTAGGTGATTTCGTCATTATGCTAACATCAAATAGTGCACTTACACAAACCTAGATGTCATAGCCTACTACACACCTAGATGATATGGTATAGCCTATTCCTCTTAGGCTACAAACATGTACAGCATGTTACTTTACAAAACAACACAAGATTAAATCAAGCTCAAGAGAAAATGATGCAATCAAGGGACTCGGTAAACACAAGATAAGTGAGGCTGCCATAGGCCTTTCACGGCATACTGTTTTACAGCTTCGTTTTTATAAGTAGAAAGAGTATACTCTAAAATAACTTTTAAAATATAGGATATAAAAATATATAAACTAGTAACATAATTATTATCATTATCAAGTATATACTGTACATAATTGTATGCGCTCTACCTTTGTACAGCTGGCAGTGAGGTAGGTTTGTTTATACCAGCATCAGCACAAACACATGACTAATGCATTGCCTGATGACTTCACTAGGTGATAGGAGTTTTTCATCTCCATTTTAATCCTATGGGACCAAGGTCACATACGTAGTCTGTCATTGACCTAAACGTCATTATGTGGCACATGACTGTATTTGGTCATTCACATGACCAAAATATATTTCTCATAAATATCTGATCTTTGTCTACTGGTTCCTGGCTCAGAGCTCCTAAAACTCCTGGAATTTCTTGTGATAAGAGCCATGAAGATGTCTTTTATGTTAATGTGCTGACTTTCAGGAAGCCCTCATGTAACCTAAAGATGAGGGTTGATTGCCTGGGGAACCAACCCTGTGATTAATGAGTTGCAACTTTCATCCCCAAACCCCACGGGACCTTTGGCGAGGGAAGAGGGACTGGATGTCGAATCAGTCCTTAGTGGCCAATGATTTAATCAACCATGCCTGTAATGAAGCATCCATAAAAACCCAAAAGGATGAAGTTCAGAGAGCTTCATGGTTGGTGAATATGTGGAAATGGAGGTGGAGTGGCACACTGGGAGAAAGCTGCAAGCTCAATGCCCTTTCCTCATCTCTTGCCCTATGCATCTTTTCCACCTGACTGTTGCTAAATTATACCCTTTTATAATAAACTAGAAATCTAGTGAGTAAATGGGTTTCTTAAATTCTATGAGCCAGTCTAGCAAGTTAATGGAATCCAAGTAGGAGGATTATGGGAACCTCTCATTTATAGCCTATCTGTCAGAAGTACGGGTAACATTCTGGACTTGAACTAGCATCTAAAAAGGTGGGGGAGTGGCAATCTTTTGGGACTGAGTGTTTAACCTATGGAATCTAACACTATCTCCAGGTGGGCAGTTTCAAAACTGAGTTGAATTTTCAGACACCCAGCTGGTGTCCAAGAATTGTTTGTAGGCGTGGGGAAGTGCCCTTTATACCCCACGTAGCAATTGGGTACAGACTCCAAAATAATTTTGTTGGGGGTTTTCTTTGCTGTGCAGAAGCTTCTTAGTTTGATGTAAATATTTATGGCAATACTTATCAAAATTACAATGGCATTTTTCACAGAAATAAAAAAGATAATCTTAAAATTCACATGGAACCACAAAAGGCTATGAATAGCCAAAGCAATCTTTAAAGAGAAGGGCAAAGCTGGAGGCATCACAGTTCTGGATTTTCAACTATTTCACAAAGCTATAATAATTAAAATAGCGTGGTACTGACATAAAAACAGACCCATAGATCGATGGAACAGAATAGAGCCCAGAAATAAACCAATGCATATGTGGTCAACCAATCCTCAACAAGGGTGCCAAGGACATACAATAAATAGTGTTGGAAAAACTGGATATCCACATGCAAAAGAATGAAACTGCACCCCTATTTTATACTCACAAAAATTAACTTGATCAAAGACATATAAGCCCTGAAACCAGAAAGGTCCTAGAAGGAAATAGGGAAAAGCTCTTTGACATTGCTCTTGGAGAGGATTTTTTTAGATTTGACACCAGAAGACAGGCAACAATAGCAAAATTAAACAAAAGGGACTATATCAAAACTGAGATGATTGTTATTCTAACCTGACATTTTACAAAAGAAGCAGGAAACCTAAAGGTCAGAAGCCTTCAAAATATTACTCTGGGTTTTTCCTCGGAAATTAAAGAATTTAGTTCCAAAGGGGTTCATGGCTATAGGAAAGTCCTTAAATCCAATTGTATACCCAGCTAGTGTAATAAGATAAGAAAATGCTTGTAATTCTCCTCCAGATAAGGAAAATACCATATTATTCCTCAATAACAAGGAAATGCTACCAGAGTTCAAAGTGACTTATTCTTATTAATGTTAGAGTACAATATAGAATACTAGGAAACTTTAAAAAATGCAGCTCCATGGTCATTTTTTTCTAAAAAGATATTTAACATACCTGCAGTACTGAATTTAAACACACCTGACAGGACTGAAGATTATATTAGTTTATGACATGGTTCTCAAAACTCTGCTCATGACTGATTAGAAAGTACAGAGTATCTATTGTAATCTGAAAATAGGAGTTTACTCAGAGGACAGAAGATTTGAAAGTGGGCAAAGTATTTCAAAATAATAGTTATCTTTTAAATACATGTTATTTAAGTTTCAGTCAATGAAGGAAAATATCAAATAAGTAATGATACGGATGGTATTCCAATATGACAAAACTTGTGGATTTTGTGACCAAATGACTGAGGTTTAGTAAATATCATACTACATAGTGGTTTGATTCAACAAAGTATATGCATAGATGGATGACCGCAATGAACTTATGCAACTTTACTACAGTCCATTGAAATGCTGTGGTGTCAATAGTCAAATAGGAGTCTATACATTATACAGTTCGGTACATCAGAAAAATACTAGAAATGAGCAGCTTCTAGATCAAATTCATGTTCCCCAAAGTCCTAAAGACAAAGGTCACATGGTTCCTAAATCCACTCTCCTAGAATCAGGCTTCTTTGTCAGCCTGTACACCATTATATACTTGTGTACTACCAGGAGTTTGCAGGACAATATCATATCTGCTCTATTCTGAAAAGCTTTTCAGAGGAAAAAAGATATGACACAGATTACAAAACATTATTTCAAAAATATTCTTGTAAAAAATTGCCTTAGAATGGAGAAAACACTGTAATAGTAAATAAGTACTATTCATTTTTTATTCTGTCACTACTTTAAATATTAGGGGTAGAAGTAAAAACAAACAAACAAAATCTCAGTGGCCTGATAATATTGTACATCTTTCTTTCTTTGTAATGACAACCTTGGTGTGCTGATCCGAGAAGCTTTGAGTATTCTGGTTAGTTGCATACATTCAGATTCCCCGCTGAAACATTTTTTCTTAGGGGACAGAAATGATATATTAGTCATTATGAGACTATTATACAGTGTTTAGGAGATACCCAATCAGTGGACTAGGTTTTTCAGAGTTAGATTCTTGGAATATATGGAACATTGAGCAAGTAAGGAAAAGCACTTGGGGCTGCATTTATCTCTTCTGTGTATGTGACAGTGAAGGGAGTGGCAGTGAGCTAAATAATCTTACTGGGACAGAGAGCTGTCTGGAGGATGGTAGAACACAGGGCACATTATTTCAGGAGAGTTTAATAGATAATATTCAGACATTATATTCTGATTATTAATCATTTTCTTCCTGAAATGGCAACCAGGAGATATTTGACAGACCTTACATGGAAGAGAACAGTGCTTCAAATAAATAATAGCAATTGCTTACTTTTACTCTGTTTATTTTTTCCTTTCTTTTCTCATATAAAAAATCTAAGGAGATAAAGATAAACCTCTTCCCACAAGCCACCTTCCTCTCAAAAATTAGTAGTCTCACAAACTTTCTTTTGAATTCCTAAAAAAATATATGATTGGTTAACCTGCCTTAAAGTGCCATCACTATACTATGGGACAGAGCTAAGAATATATGAATGTCCCTGAGCAGTCACAGGAAAACTGAAAAGCCTAAGGAGACGACTATATGAGAACCAGTTAACCTTAAGAGGCCTGGAGGTCACCGAGAGGAGACTAAATCACAAACGCACCTTGAAGCACCAGGGGAGGAGTTGAATGGTTTGTTGTAATAAACAGCCAGAGCCTCTGGCGGGATGCCTTACTACATTTATTTTCCAAGTCCTTTGGGTGGGTCACAGCTACACTCCAACATCCTGCCTGCAAATGCTAAAAAAATACAAAGTTCGCGTCAGACTAGAGAATCAACGTACTAACTAATATCTTTTAAGGAATCAGAATGCTTAAATTATTTTTGTTTGATAATTCACATCCAAAATAACCGAAGTTGGCATTCCCAAATGAATGCATATCCTCCGTGCAAATATTCAGAGGGATAACCAGGGTGGTCAAATGTTCTTTCTCTTAGGAGCAATTCCAATCAGTTTAGATTATGTCTATTATAATAGAACAGTATTTATTTAAGATGTAGGAGGTGGGGCAGGAATTGGTCTTCACAGTAAGAGATGTTAAGTTGATAACAACATGAGCTTCATTTTTCACTGAAGATCTGATGAATTAGCAAACCCAGTCTTCATGTATAGAAATCAATGAAATCTGCATATGATTTTCAAAAGAAATAAGATTTAGACAACACTGTGCAAGGAAACAACCTCAGTACATGTAGCCACTTGTCCAGCAATAATTCATTAGATTTTTCAGTTTAAAC